ACAAGAAACGGCGAATGTTTCAAAAGCGGAGGACGCAGTTTGACGATGTTGTGAAAGCTAGTTTCATTGTGATTGAAAAAACTACCAAATCGTCGAAGCCTTTTGCCGAAGGCGAATTCGTAAAAGCGTGTCTTTTGGAAATCGTGGATATGTTATGCCCCGATAAAAAAACAGACTTCGAAGAAATAAGATTATCGAGCGTATAGTTGTTCGACGAATTGATATGATGGCTGATGATGTCGAGAAAAGTTTGCACGACCGCACTACCACATTCGAAGCATTTGCGATCGCTTTGGACGAGAGCACTGATATGTCAGGCACAGCCCAGTTAGCAACTTTTGTTTGAGATGTAGATCCACAGTTTAACATAATGGAGGAATTGCTAGCACTGCAGCCATTAAAAGGAACCACTGCTGGTGAAGATATTTTTGAAGATGTTCAGACAGTGATCGAAAACTTCAATTTACAGTGGAATCACCTCGCTGGAGTTTTTTCAGATGGAGCACGTGCAATGGTTGGTTCATGAAAAGATTTTTTTGGCATGTTAAACGAAAAATCAACTGAATTAAATATTCAGAAAGATAATTTAATAATTCTCTTTTGCATTATCCACCAACAAAGTTTGTGTACAAAGTCCATTAAAATGAGGAATGTCGTGGATGTGGTTATAACGAGCATCAATTTTATAAATCTTGTATCCAAAGTTCGAGCTCATGGTGCACATTAACCTGCTGTTGATCGATTTTTTTACTGAATAAACAACCTGATAAAAACTTATCTGTTTTTATGTTTTTTGAATCTTATACAGATGCTAAAATGCGTAATATTTAGGATATGTGTGTATGTTTTTAGAATGGAGTGGACTTTGTCACCCACTTTTAATTCACTGACGGGAAGAGCTATGATGCAGCACTATCGTCCCATCCAACGCCTTTTTCTCCGCATTCAAGAAAAGACCAAAACACATGTGTTGATTGTGTTAAACTGTAGAACAACAACCATTCATACTGTTAACGATCTGAGTACGTCAAATTTAGCAAGCATGACTGCATGGGTAAGACTGGTGCATTGCTACCTGAGTTTTATTAAAAGGTGGCCCGCGAGCCTAAGTATGTAAGCCCGACCCGCGCATTACCAAAGATTACCCATGCCTGGTCTAGACGAGTGTTTTACAGCTTGAGCAAAAATCCAGCAGTTGGTCGCTGCTGAGTTTTCGAACATTTGAAGTGCTCGTATTTACAAATACACAATGTTAACGACTATCCTTTTTTGTGCGTTTTTTGCATCTATGTAATGCGAAAACGCATACTGTTGAGGGTTGTCTCTGTGTATCTGTGTGTCTTTATGTGCGTCTGTAACGAGCTTTCATCTCGAAATCCACAAAACCTACAAGGCTGAAACTTTGGTAACCTATCCTCAAAATGGACGATCAGTTCCACGTAGTTCCCGCGTATGGGCACGTGAAAGTTCTGGCGGGAAAACGTTTTCGGGGGCGACGCAAGCTAGGAGGCTGAAACTTCGAAAGTTGTTCCTTATCTGCTTCTAATCCAAAGACTTCAAATTCAGCCTTCATGCACCCCTAGGTCTCGCGTACACACAAGTCAAAGTTTGAACTGGCATCATGTCAACTTCAGATTTAAGCTGACCAAGAAGTTGTAGAGAGCTGCAATTTTGCAGCGTTACTTGTGTAACCCTATAATTGCACTTCTCTTCTCCCACTAATTCTTAACACTTCGACCTGCTTCCCTCCACGTAATAATTTCTAACAATTCCACCAAATTCTAAATGATTCCATATTACCTACCTTCTCACTCACTAACTAAAGTACCCTCCTTTTCCCTCCATTAATTTACCCTATATAAGCCTCTTCCTAAGTCCCAGCCCTCAGTTTTGGGTAATCAACAGGATCGACAACGCCACTCGACTACCCTACTACTAGCGTCCCGTCTCTACACCGCCAGCTTTCTTCTTTTGAACAGCTTGCGCGGCGCTGCGGCTCTTCGTTTTACGCGTCGCTTACTCATCATTTTTCTCGTTTTCTGTGAAGCGAAGCTCTTATTGGAAGAATAAAATGGTGGTACCTTTCTCTGTCTTTCGCTGCTGCAGTCAAGGACCACGTGTGGGCTTAACATGGGGGACTGAGCCGGTATTGGCTCAATAGCTACGCAGCAAAGCGGAGAGGAGAAGAAACTAAACCGTCGCCATGAGCCGTCCTCCTAGCGAAGGGCAAGAAGAGAGCGTTGAAGCAGTCATGAGCGAGTTCGGCATTAAAAATGCCGTACACTTGCATCAAGTACTGCAAGAATGGAAAGCGGACCAGCAGCTGCTGCAGCAATATGGCCGTACTTCGGTGGCCGATCTTGTACAAGCAAAAAGCCGGCAAAGCACACCAAGCAGCCAACGCAGCAGTAGCGCATCATGGGGGATTTTTCCCGACGCTAGTTCGGCACGAGTGCAAACGCGGTTGAAGGGAGGTGAACACTACGAACAAAGAAACCAGTGCCTTGAAGCAGCGCACGAGCATCCGCATAAGCCCTTTATCGAAAATGATGCGGCCTTGCATGCGTTTAATATAATGCTACGCTGTGCCAAGCACATGCAGTACCGATTCACGGGTAGACATAGGAAAGGATCTTTATCCTTCCAGGATTTTGTTGACGGCTTCGACCATGAGGATGACCACGCAAAAATTAAATATCTTAAAGCTCAATTAGCAGACTTGGCATTAGATGCATTCCTAGGTACTGCAGAGGACATCAGGAAAAGGAGTACTTTTGATGAAGTGGTGGAAAAACTGCGAGGTTTTAGTAGGTCGTTCAAAAATTACTCGCATGTGCTTGCAAAATGAGTTAGCTGCCATAAAATCGAAGGAGGATCAACCATTACTGGAATTTTTTGCTTATTTAGAGCGTAGGATTGCCAGTGCCTACCCATCAAGTATTTATACTGACCCGAAATTTCTAGATGAGAGGAAATGTGGGTTGGCCGAGTAGAAATGGCAAGAGCTGAGTAGAAATGCCGAACTTGCAGCTAGCATATTCACAGCAGAGAAACAGCGCTCGATTATGAGCGAGTTTTTAATAGTATGAAAAAGGCAGGGGAAAAATATAATGTACCGAAATACCGTGGGCGTCTATTTAGACAATGCAATATCGAGTACAGCTATAAGCAGGGCAAAAACTACACCTCGGCTCGGCTCGGCCATGCGTTTTGCGCCCCAATGAGGCGCATGCCATATCTAGCAACACTGTTTCGTATCGCCAGGAGGAGAAGGCGCTTGGCAACGTGCCAGGAAAGTGGGACAGCGTTGCCCCGGCAGGAAGTGCAGGATAGTGAAATGGTGGTGCGTGCTGCTGCACTTGCTTTCGTGGCTCAGAAAGAGTAAGTTGCAACTTTCGCATGAATGATTTGGGTCTCCTGGTTTCTTGCGTGGAGCTGAAAATATGTGTAAGCTGAAAGTGCGGGTGGAGGCAGTAGATTTGGAAGGTAGATGAAAAGCGAGTGCAGGGGAGGGATGTGCAAGGGCTGGGCATGGTTCGCAGTGTGCGTGCTTCTCATGCAAAAAACCGGCGCCGTATGCGAAAAAGCGGTGGGAAGGCGGGATGGTAGAGAGGCAGCAGTGGTTGTGTGGGTGCGTGGAGGGGAGAGCGGCGGTTAGTGGATGTACATCCCCGCTCCGCCCTCTCCCCTCCCCCCCGCCCTCTCTTTCTAAGCATCAAATTTTCCCATTTCCCCTCCTCCCTGGTAGTGAGAACTGAGAGTAGTGGGCGACCAAACTCGCCCGCGCCACTCAGTCCTCCTAAGCCGCACTCCCCTGGTACTGAGGGCTGTGGGCAGTGGGTGATTAAATTCGCCCCCGCCACTCTGTCCCCTAAGCCGCAGATCCTTCCCGTCTGTTCTGTGTGTTGCTACCACTTCTTTGGGGGTCGCCCGAATGATCGTTTACTTTTTCGGGGATAAAACCCTACTACACTTGCAACCTCCCTCCCCGACGACCTAAAAGTTTGTAAAAGGCAACAATACACTCGGGCAGACGTACTGTACCAGGAAGCTCCCTCCCTCATGACGTGGAAGGGAGGGAGCAAATAACAAACAACGAAAATTGGAAGAGGAGGAGAGGTGAAATTACAGTGAATCTGAACATGGACGCGAAGTAAAACTGCAAATGAAGACAGAGCGAAAATTAAAAATTGCTTTTGAACTACAGCCTCATATTGAGCGTTGCGGCCCCGTGATTTCTGCTGTTCACATTTGCAGCTAAGAAATGAAACAGGAAATGTGCATACGATACTTGGATCCATTATTTCTGATCCTAATATTGCATATTTATAGCACACGGCTGCACGGGCAACCCTACCCGTCGTGCATAGAAAAAATTTTTGGCTAATTGTGTAGGAGACGAGCCGAGCCGAGCCGTGTTTTAGTAATGCTCATAAGCAGGATGGTCGTGCGGACCACGGCAGCTCTAGGCCAGGTGGGCCGGAAAACAACAGTGCCAGCAGGCATTTCGTTCTCCCAGACAAAAGAAAAGAAGACGGAATAAACAACTGGAGTATTGGCGAGGCAACCGCCAGTTTTAGTAATACGAGATTTAAGCATAATAGAACACGACAGACGGGCCGGAAACGGGAAGAACAATCCACAGTTTGTGCGGTTTGTAAAGGCAGAGGCTATGTTGCCAGAGTTTGCCCTTCTCGGGCTGTGGAAAAAGTCTCCGTACAGAGTCCGGGAAAATGTGGTGATCTAATCACATTCAGGTTAAATGAAGTGTCAGAACCTGAATTCCCCGAGCTAGTTGATAAAATCGTAGGAGGCTGAATGGCTGTAACTGTTCTTTCTGATGGAGTAAGAATGACCGCTTTGTTGGATACGGGGGCAATGGTTAGCCACATTACAGCGGCCGCCGTCCGAAAATTGAAACAGAAGTGAGTGATAGTTATCTGAGCCCTAGAATTATTGAGACAAATCTGGGCCCCGTTTCCGACGCGTTAGGAAATACTATGATAATATCCGGACGTGTCATTGTAAAGGTCAAATGGCTTACCGAGGAAGAAAAAGTGGTGTATCTTATCCACGAGAACTGCAAGGGAAATGATGATTTGATTTTGGGCAATAATGCCCTAGCTTCATCGAAAAAGTGGATGTTGCGACTGCTCGGCCAAATGCAACAGCACTTGTTAGGAAGTGTTTCATGTGTAGAGTGTTGATACCGCCGTACTCAAGGCGTGTGGTGAAAGCCATTCCCGCAAATAAGCATATTGTTTGGGAATACCTTACTTCCTGTAGACCATTCACGCAGGAAGATTTAGTAAAATTGGATAGAGATGCTTACTGTGTGGAAATCCGCAATGACTCGGATGAACCCAAGCTTATTAGGAGAAATGAAAAGCTGGGAGATATCCCCGTGAATCAAGTAATGGATGTATCGTCTGAGGAAGGAAAATTCGACGCTAAACAGTGTGCAGGAGAACTGAATTCGGATGAGCGCGTTAACAAAATTTGGGAGCTGCTCGGGATCGAGAAACTGCAAATCCAAGTTTTACAGAAACAGCGCTTATGGAATATATTGCGTCTGTTCTCCAGTACTTTTGCTTTAAATGACAACGAGTTGAGTAGTGCCGAGGGCGTCATTTGCGACGCAGACGTAGGAGATGCCAGGCCAATACGACAAAATCCTAGGCCGGTTCCTTTACCATTGCGAGGCACCGTCAAGGCGATGCTGCAAGATTATCTAAGATGAGATGTGATTCGTCCTAGTTCTAGGCCTTGGAGTAGCCTTATTGTTTTGGTGAAAAAGCACGTTGAGATTTTTTGTTGATTACAGGAGAGTAAATCAGGTAGTAAAACTTTATACATACCCTCTCCCACATATTAATACCTTGCTGCACAGCCTCCAGGGTAAAACGTGGCTTTCCAAATTTGATCTCATGCCCGGATATTGGCAGTGTGCCATGAGCGAAAAGGCGAAAACAGTATCTGCATTTTCGACACTAGAAGGACATTATGAGTTTAACTTATTATCTTTTGGATTGGCAACGTCGCTCGCCTTATTTGAGCGGATGATTGAAGATGTTTTGGGAGATTTGATAGGCAAAAATGCATTTGCGTATATTGACGATATGCAGCAGATACGATCGACCAACACATCCAAACTATTCACGGGATGCTAGGTAGGTTAGCTCCAGCTAATTTAAAGTTGAAACCGAGGAAGTATGAAATATTTAGAAACGAAATTAAATTTTTGGAGCATGTACTTTGCAGAGAAGGCATCAAGGTGGATGCGGACATAGTTGGGGCAATAGTAAATTTTCCTAGGCCATATACGGCGAAACAGCCCCGCAAATTCTTAGGAATGTGCGGCTACTATAGAAAATTCATCAAGGGATACGCGTTTTTGGTTAAATCACTTTTTGATATGCTTAAAAAAGGAAGTAAATTTGAATGGACAGATGTTACTATTCAAGCCTTCGCTAATTTGAAGGAAAAGTTGAGCATGACAGTAGTGCTGGCCCTGTTGCGGAAGAAAATTATAGCGGGATCGAATTCCGATTCCGAGATTCAGAGAGAAGAATTCGGTGGTTCAGTGGTTGCAACAATTCTCCTGTCTTATTCGACCGGGCTCTTCGTAATCCTAATGTAGTTTCCACAAAATCAACTATTTATTCATTACCTCAGGTACAAGCAGAAGAATGTCTCAGGTGCCAAATCAAAAGAAATATCGTCGTGTAGCGGCGATAATACCAGTATCCAGCGACCGAAAATACCAGCCCTAAACTCCAAATCTCACCCAAGTCTTGTGGATCGCCACTGCCCTGCCGAGACCGGCACTTCGTTTTCACCGTAGTACTAAACTACAACCCTGTCGCCTCTCCACCCTCTGTTTTGTCAACATGTTTTCATGTTTGACAAAACATTACATGTACAGGTTTAAGAAAACATCAAGAAAACATATCACCGTATGTTCATATTCGCGACAAAATAAGCAATGATTAATTGCTGAGAATTAATTGCCAATGATTAATTGCACCCTCTTCTCGAAACGGACGCCCTTGCCCATGTGGTTCCCAAATATGGACCTATGAAAATTTCTAACGCGCAAACTGCTAACTTGGGAGCTGGAATTTTAAAGGGGTGTTTCCCAGCAGTCGTGATGGCCAATTTCAATTCTTTTAACTAGAAGCATCTGCCGGAAAAAACAGCGCCGTTAGCAAGAAAAGCCTGCGGGGAAGTGTGCAAAAGACGCATCTTCGCACCAGCAGGCAGTGTGTTTACCAATTATTTCAAAACGCGAAAAATGGTCCGCGTGAGTCATGGTGTTCCGGTTCCGAGAAATCCATGTACAGTGTTTAGAGCCATTCGACTGCAATATAAAGCGAGTACATTTTAATCCATGCGATACAGCCAATGCTTTGTAAAATAGCTGAAGCACAGACTGGGTTCGAGTCGAACCTTTAGACTCTTCTTTTAGTGAAAACAAAGGGCAATTATTAGAACTCGGTTCGTCTCAGCCGTTACTCTAACCTCCTTGCTTATGTTACTTCGCGGTGTCGCATGGCAATTTGTCAGGAGCGCAGGGTAACATTATTCAGTGCACGACAACTGGAACGCGTGATTGGTGGGGCGATGCTGGGTGGCGGAGAAGAGAGAAGGGAGGAGGGGAAGGAGGTTGACGTGGTTGGAGGCGGTGGTGGGTGAATACCTAGATGCAGCTGCGGGAGCACGGATTAGGACGAGATAGCGGGGAGGAACATGGGGACTAGTGAGGAGTACAGAACGATTAGTGGTAGTGGTTAAGGGTGGTGGGTGATGGGTGTTCAGATGCCACTCAGCAGGCAGAGTATGGGGGCAGATTAGAGGAGGTGAACAAGCTTATTTATGAAGCTGTTTATGAGGTTGATGCTTAGATAAAACTGAAAGCTTTCAGGTTTTAGTGTCCGTAGTTTACCTTTTTCATTTTGGTCCATTTTTAGTTTCCAGTTTTTTTGCGAATCCACTGTGCACATGTTATGCGGTTCCTTTCTCTGTCGATGGGCGCTTGTTTCATATTTCTGATTAGGGTGTGAGTTATTTCCCTGGGCGAGTATGTATATTTCACAAAACTGTTCTGTTGGGGTTTACTTTTAAACCAGTTGACGTTAGTCAGGTTTGGAGCTTCTAAGTTTAGGTGTTATGAAGATTCCTGAACACCTTTCAGTTTTTTCTTTGACCCCTTATCTTTCCTTTTTCCGGCCAATATTGGCTAATTTAACTCTCGCTTCTTACGGAAATCTTATCTCGAATTTTCCGTCTTGTGCTTTGACCTTTTACTGTAAATTTTCGCTTTAGGATGCGATTCTGGTATTCCTCTTCTACCCTCTCGCTCTTTTTTTTAATATGTTGATTGTTTATATTCGGTCCCATTGTTGCACTTCCCATTTTTTAGTACTACCTAACATATTTGTCTCTAGACGGGTTAAACTTGGGTTCGCTTACAGACCACGGAATTGTGCAATTCGTCGGGTTTGCTCAAAACAGTCCAGTAGCTAGCAGTTTACTTTTCAGTCTTTTTTTCTCCCAAAATGCCATTCTTAATGTTGTTTGGCGTGTCATTTTGGATGATTTCATTTTCTTCACCGATTGCTTCGACTTTATGTGTGTATTGAATTTGAATAAATATTGCTTGTATTTCATCTTTGTAAACTTCCCGTCGCGGCTGCGTACAGCGTTATTTGCATTATATGAATCCGTTAGTCCACTTTTGCTTTTAGGCCACTACTATGTTTGGAGCGTGAGGCTCCTAGCTTCGTTTCTCTTCTGCTTTCTCCTTCCTTGCCAGCCCGCGTCCTGCGGTATACCTCTGGGATACCTAATGCAGAGCATGCTACCCACCATGAAGATACCGGTAACTTCATGGTTTCACACGCCCTTATGGGGTGCACTAGGCCGATTGAATGGTGACTGCCTGCGTCCGGTTCGTGCCTTTTGGCCACGGGCAATTGGCCGTCTGGGGATGAGCAGGCGTCTGCGTCCCCGGCGCGTCTATTGGCTACAAGCGTGGGCTTTCGCACTGCTCCCCCTGCTTATTACGTGGCTCACGCAAACAGCACTTACGACATTTCTTTTCGCCTTACCAACCTATTTCCTGGTATCGTGCCTTGCGAACGCAACTGCGAATGCTGCGCCCTGATCTCTTGAACGCCTCTTGTTCGCGGTTTCATTTATCGTAAATGCTTTGCCGCGTCATGCTCAACACCCCGTAGCGCTCCCACTTGTTTGATTCGTGGCATCACATATTGTATTGCCTGCAAGCGTTGTGGGCTACAATACCTAGGCTAGACAAAGCGCAGCTTACAGTTCAGAGTGTGGGAGCATAAGCGCAACGTCGCTAATAATGCTGCCAACAATGTCCTGTATGTGCATTTCCGCAGCCATGGACACTTGGCTTCTGATATATTTCTGCAGGTCATTGAGGTAGTGCGTGACGTTCGTCGGTTAATAGATGCAGAATTCTTTTGAATTTGTTTGCTTAAGATAATTTATTCCTTCAGTTTTAACGACCGCGTTAAAGGTTTCGGCGTAGTTACTTAGGATTCGACCTATAGCAGTAAGATTATCCCTTGCTTCTCGGTTCAGCTTCCTTGACTGCTTCGCAGACACCGGCAAAGCACCGAACATCTATTGTTATTAATTAATCCTGTATCGATATGGCACTCCGCTTGTCCTTCACTTCTGCCTGTGAACTGCAAGCCTTCGCACGAGTTCATGATCAAAGTAGTCGTACTTTCTCGCTTGTGCTTGGTCGCTTAAATAAAGCTAATTTTCCAGGTATACTTCTTTGGCATATTCTTGGCTCCCTTCTTTCTACTAGTCGTGCGGCTTCACATCGGAAACTGGTTTGCACTAGGGCTTTTCACGCGTCATACCTTACCTAGGGCTGGTTTACGACGACCTCAGTTATGGCAGGCTTGTTCATAATTGCATGTTCCGGCTCATGCGTGACGGCTTGCCGGTTCCTCGTTTCAGCGTGGCTTTCGAACACGGCCCTCCGTTGGGCCGTACCCTCTGCAATCATATTTTCCTGCTACTTACAGCCAATAGAATAGACAGAAAGAAATGGGAAGATTTGAGTTTAATATTTTATGTGAAGTAAACTAATGGAGGGGAAAAAAGTGGAAGATAGCATGTAGGGACATGTGTTGTAAACAGTGTGACATGTTGATTGTGCTTG